ACACAAAGTAGTACCGACAAATCCCTTGCATTCGCTTGATATAATTTTTGCGGAATACAAATTTTTTCCATTCAGCAGAAGATGTCTTTTTGTGATTAGATCTTGTTCACTTTTCTCCTCCTTACTCATTTCTGTTTTGCCATACGGTCTATGAGTGAATTCAACAGCAAAGACAAGAACGATTATGACTGGGTCGGAGAGCACATGCAAAGGCAGCGACGGTAAACTTTATAATGATTTTTTTTTAAATATACTAGATAACGTTGAAAAGGAACTATCATTAAAACTGCAATGCTTGCTAAGCTTTGCTTCCTATGACTGACTAAAAATGTTTTAGCGCACCATCTTGACGGTCTCAACCAAGCTGATTATCGCAGTCCTACTACCACTAAACGTTGTACAAGCCTGACAGCACAGTACCACAGTGAGTTGTGTTGTCGCCACTCACCGCCGCTTCAGGCATGTTCACCCCACGTTTGTGTGGGTTTTTCGTGGATCGTCTGGTTTCCTTCCACTGTCCAAAAATATGCAACTTAAGTGAACTGGAGTGTCTAAATGGACGGTGTGTGTGAGCGACTGTACATCCTGCAGTGGTTGGTTGGTTGCTGCCGTGCACCAATTGCAATGCATATGTTATATTATATATAAGCAATTACTCAATTAATCGTCAAACTAATCGGTAGGTTACTTGATTATTAATATGACTGATGGTGACAGCCCACTGACCAGTGGCATCCTTGGATAGCATTTCAGCATAGTCAATGTATTTTTGTACACAATTACCAACATAGGCTATGCCTACTCATAACTACCCTAATTCAGCAGAGTTCTAGGCTATAGACTCTATCAAAGTATTTGCAATGAGGTAGACTCTACCTTATATACTAGCTGTTGATTGTAAATTCCTTCACTGAAACCTGGTTGAGGGAATTGACCCAAATATTACCTCAGAGTAAGAGCCTTCCAGAGACAGCATGAGGTCATCTGGATGAAGATTCAAGAATAAATAAAGCTTTCTTCCAAGTGACATTACTGTCGGTTTGAAAGTAATTTTGCATCATTAGTGCTTGTGTTTTCCAGGGGTGCATCTAGAAATTCCAGTCTGGCTGACAACATGCCACCTTGCTCGCCCCCCCACCAAATTTTATGAATAGTTCTATGTATTACAAGGTCCCTGTCAAGTGCTGGGCCCTCCGAATCTGCCAAGGTATCTCTGCCCCTCTAATGCCCCTGCTGATAACCCATAACTAAAAATGAAACCTCTAATTAATGCTGGAAACCAGATTCAACATCTGCTGCTGTGAGGTGAGCAAAATAAGAGAGCTACACATCTGACCCATTTGCGGTTTTCCTCTTTTGCCTGAAAACAAAACAAGAGCTGACTCTAATTCCTGGAAGATTTGTGAATCCGTGAGTTAAAATAATGCACTTAAAATAGTATTACATTTAATACAAGAGTATGCTGTATTATTACAAACTGGCTAAATATACTTATGTGATTTTCCCCCATATTATCATAACTAAAACAGTGTGGTTGTCACGCACGCCGACCGGAGAAAGAGGAGCAGGGAGGCGAGGAAGCAGGGAACGAGGGATTTATTGTGAGAACACATAAGGCAAGCCACAAGACTGACGTGAAACTCCAATGACCGGACTGGGGAACACATACCTAATGCAGACTTAAATACAGGTGGACGAAAGATAATCAGAAACAGCTGGTGAACACGGGGAATCCACACGGGGCTAATGAGGGGGCGTGGCACACAGAAGGAGCGGACGATCGGGGCAGGACAGTGGTGATGACTCTCTTTTTTCGTTAATGCATTGCAAATGAAAACAACAACATCCTGTTGGTGTATTTGGCAGGAAATGAGAACTGTACAAAATACAGCTTTTGCGACCCATGAGTGGCTTGTGGCGTGGGGTGGGACGCTCTTTTTTACATCACGTTGTCAACGCAGAGGGCTTGTTGTCATTATGCGTATTGTAGGTCATCACGTATAGTGTTGTTACATTGTAAGGGGGTGAGTGCTTTTTCGTTTGAGTTACGTTTTCTCCTGTTTTTAGTTCGTATGAGTTGAATATACTGAATTAAGATAAACCCAGTGCCATTGTTATTTACGATTACAAGTTATGTGGTTTGTTTTGGTCTGAGGACTGGGAAGCGGGAGGTAGGAAGACGTCATGCAAACCTTTGTTATAACCTCCACTAGTTGGGTTGTAATGTAAGACTCAAGCATCTACACACATACATTTTCATCTTCCTAAAAGAGAAGGGACACGCTCTCCAGGACTGCAGGCAATGTCACAGAATTTGTTTCACTGGGAATACAAACGTTGGCCCGTATCTGAGTGAAGTTCAGTCTTGCCAGAGCTAGCTATCATCTATCAATATTTACAAACATGTTGTGCTCACTGAAATTCAATGAAAATCTGACGAATAATACGAATAAAAAGCTAGGAGACACATTTGATCCTATAGATTTATACCACTTCAACCCCAAGTCCCATGTCAGACCCAAAAGTCTAAGCAGTCACAGCCTGAAGTCTATAGTGTCTATCTTTCTCTGTTTCCGCAATTTTACATTTCAGCTTTTGAGAACGTTCCTTTCTGTCTTCCTCCCCCCCCCCGGCTCACATTTGAACCCAAGAAGTGGAACCCCAAATAAAGCACAATTCTGAAATCATGGGGTTCTTTTAGCTAAGCTGTCTTGGTTTTCCAAAAGCAAAGGAAAAATGTAGAGATATTTTAAGGGTGGCCTGTGGTTTGAATCCCACCCCTGGCTCTGCATGCATATAGATTAGGGTTGCAGAGATTAGCGGTTTCATGGTAAACCACAGTAAAATTCCTATTAGTATCACTGTTCCAAATTTTAATTATCATTAAACCTGTGGTTTTGGTCAGGCTTTGAAAAACCCACGTTAAATACTGTTCAGCATCAAAGGGTAGCAGCAGTCTCCCAGATGCAGGAGCGCAGCCGCAGCATGCAGTGTGGATGCAGTGTGGATGCAGTGTTTAGTGTTTAGTGTCAGTGAAAACATGGTGGAAGGCAGTGACAGCACTCTAGTGATTCTTAATGCTGGTGCACATTTGATATGGTTTTCATATGCTTACATAAACCATTGGCTATGTTATGATTTTAATGTTTAAGTATTGTGGTCTTCATTATAAATTTTGGTGAAATTATTTTTGTGCATCAGTACTTTTTTGCACATTTGAACAATGTCCCAATAATAATGATAACCGGGATAATTTTGTTCACTATAATCTTAATGTTAAATTTTCATCTCTGGTGTAGCATTTCAGGTTTTCCTCATATTTGGTGGCCATCCTCTCAGTACTCCAATTTCCCCCCGCAATCCAAAAAAATACGTTTAGACATCCATGAACTGCCCAAAATTTATCTGTGCGCACCCAGTGATTGACTTGCACCCCTTCCTGGTTGTCCCCTGCCTTGTGCTTCCTGTACAAGATAAGCAGTATAGGAAATGGATGGATATATATATTATTCATGTACTGACAACATAAGCAACATTGCTTTTACACCAAACATCTCAATCGCTTCTGACTTAAAAGGCCACAGAGCCAATTAAAAGAATGAAATCAATACAATGCAGCTCAAAGGTCATTGAAATCACTGGGAAACACCAATAACCTGATGTAGGAGTAGCTCTAATCCCCATTATGATGATGCAACGGTGGAGCTCTTGTTCATAATTCACTGCATTATCCTGCAGATTGCTCAGGATTGTCAATACAGAAAACATCAGCCGATATAAGTGAACAAACTCTCCCTCAGCCTTGTCTGCACTTGAAATATCTCTTCCCATCCACGAGGATGCCAGAAAGACGGGCAAAACGGACTGGCACCAATAAGTGCACAGAAATTATGATGGACGTGATGTTCAGATATTTTCTTGGCCATATGGACAGTCTGGTTGAAGGACATTGTCAGAATCTCTTTTGAGTAGGACGATTAGACAGCCCCATCCACAAACAAAGGACAAACAACATTTGTGCAATGAAAGGGACAGTCATGTTTTTACATATGATCCTATTTGTTGCCAAGTTCTGACTACAAAAAATGAAAACTGCCTCTAATTTATAATGTAATCTAGTCTGGAGGAAGAAAATCCACCAGACTCTTAAAAAGTATTTGAGAATAACTCTAGATGACAATCACCAAACAAATGATATCTAGGAAAGGCCATAAATGGAAAAAGGCCCAGATTTATGTTGCACTAGAGGAAAGGATTCAGTGTAATCAATCACAATACAAAACATTACAAAATCTGATCTCAGTGCTGCTGGATAAATATCTTCAGGTAACTGCTGATGCACTTGCTGGTCTGGGATTCTGCCCTGCAGTATTCATCTAACTAACGGTCATTTAAGCCGACACTAACACTCTGGTTTTTCTGGGAAATTCTTTTCAGATGTTGTAATCCAGTTTGTGTTATAGTGGACAGTGTTGGGAAGGTTTCTTTTGAAATGTAATTTGTTACAGATTACAAGTAACCCTTTAAAAAATGTAATAAGTAATGTAATTATTTTGGTTACTTCATCAAAGTAATGTAACTTATTACACTTGATTACTTTTTCATTACTTGTCCAATAAATGTTTTACACTGAGCAATAAAGCTGAACAGTCCTAACGGCTTTGCTGATCCGCGTTGTCTGGAACTATGCCAAAAGAAGGCATTCCTGCCAGGCAAAAAGATGCGAGGCAACTAAATGAATGTTATATTCCACATATAGGCCCACGGTTTTTACCAAAAAGAATATATTCTGGTGTAATCCCTTTGCAATCACCAACATTTTCATTAATAACTGTCATTTTGTTCCATATTTTCTCAGTAACTCATGTAATGGATTATAATTTCCGTTAATTTTGTCATTTCATTATGTAATTACATGTGACTAGTTACTCTGCAACACTGGGCATAAACCTTCAAAAACACATCAACTGCACCAAAAACTGTGGCCACAGAGCAAAGAAAACATTTAGAACCATATAATTTATTATAGCATCAATCAAATCATGGGTTACATATATGATTTCACAGACATGTCAGTGATTGACAGGGAACCTCTGAGCTCCCCCCCCCCCCGAGTCCATACAGCGTGATTTCTTCAACATGCAATGACATGCCGCTCTCCAGCCAATGGAAGCAAGCCCATCGCCCAGCTCCTAGGATTTGTCCTCATTCTTCTTCTTCTGGAACTTTCTGAACTGCGACTGAATGGCGACAGCCGCCTTCTCCGTTTCGGGGGCTTCCAAGTCGATGTCAAATTCCTCGGCGGGTGCTTCTTTCTTGGATGTATCTGCAAGAGAGCAGCATAGGTGGATCAAGTTTCATCCAACACACCTCTTTAAATGAGGAGGAGGTATTGTCACGCCCTATTGTCTGATCCTTTCATGTGCCACGCCCCCCCTCGTTAACCTCATGTGAAATCCCGATGTTACCAGCTGTTTCTTGTTGTTTCATTAAGTCCTGCGTATTTAAGTCCACGTCAGAGTACAGTATGTATCCCCAGTTCCGCCATTGAAGTCTTCACCGTGTTTTACCTTGTTTGCCTGTTTTGCCAAA